CAGTCCGAAGATAGGAACGATTTCAATCCTTTCATCACTTCAGATCTACGGAAGGATATTTTTAAACATAATAAATACACACCGTCGTCTCGTACGCATTAATTAAGCGCTCGTTTCCATCGCGTCATATTTTCGCGAAATATCAATTGTCAGTCGAACATCTGATGAAAAATTATCATACTCGTGGGAAGGATTTTAAACTTTCAGGAATACAGAGATGTCGTCGCAGCCAGTAGGGAAATATTTTAATTTTCTTCATTTGCGGATGCTTATCGATCTGCAATGTGGCGCGAGGCAAAATAAATAACGTTAATCTCTTATCTTCGATACATTGGTATTAGTGTACCACCGATCACCTAAACATTAATAAAAAAAAAAAAAAATTATCAAAATCTACCGCCTTCTGGTAAATTACACAAAATTCGAATTCAGTACCTGCAGTCGATAATTACGATATTGATTGCATGAGAAAATGTTAGATGTAGTATGCATGTATATATATATATACACTAAAATTCTGAGTAAAAATCAATTTCCGTTTCAAATATACACGACGTGATAAATATTTCCTTTAAGAATAATAACATAAATTTTACTTACACTGGTGTTTATCTGCGAGCATGATTAACGTAGATGGCAAATCCCTCCGCCTAAAGAAGCACATGACTTTTGCTTCGACATTTCCACTGGCCGTCTAAATGTAGTAAAAAATTTTTTCATAAATATATTTTTTTCAAGTATAGATACATTTAAATTACTATCGTATATAATACGAAATATCTATTAATAAAATGTAAATACTACGATGTGAACAATTATTTATCAATTTTATAGATCACAATAGAAAAAAAAAATATATATATATAATCGCAACTTTGTCTCTTACCTTATTTAATTCTTCTATCCTCCTTATTTGGTAAGGAGACGTAGAGGATGTTTCAAAATATACATAATCTATAATTTAAAAGAAGAGAGTCTACTTAATAAGGCTTCTTATCAAGAAAGACTATTATAGTAAAAATGTATATGTCTATGTATATATACATACGTAGAATATATATGTAGAATATGTATATAGAGAGAAAGAGAGAATCACTTGATTAAATTTTATATATAACATATCAATAATTATCGTTTATATATTTGCCTTATAATACGCATCGATATACGACCAAGAGAGCAACTGTTAAAAATAAAATCTCAATGCTAAATATATTCATTTACTTTCATTT